GGTCTCAGTTGTTCTGAGATGAGGTGAGAAACCATTTCCAATGCTTGTTGCCTGTCCATGTCTATGTCAGTATGTCCATGGCTGCAGGTACTTGCTGGAGAACTTGGCCTGTAGTGTTGTTCAACCTGCTTTTATTTTCACCTTTTGATGAGGTACTTAAGGTCTTCTGTTGGAGAGGCTGGCTCTTTTGTCTTTCATGTGCATCTGGATATGTTGCCCATCCTTACACAGGAGTCAGCAGCGGGTGGTCCAGCCCTGCAACATGTGCTTCAACGTGAGACCATATGATTATGGGATGTTTTCTGAGGTTCGGAATCAGGTGGAATGGTCCTGTAGGGATGATTTCTAGGAACCTCTACTAGGCTGGTCCTCAGACCCAGCTCTTCTGTGTACAGTAGCCTGTTCTTGGAGGTGGAGGATTAACCAGTTGAACCAACACACCCGTCCCCAAAATTTCTTTCTCTCCCATTTCCCCTACTTTGCGTTTGGGACTTGTTGGTGCTAAGGTGTTTGGGTTACAGATTGTCAGAAATGACTCTGGGTTTTCTGTTTACAAACAGAGGCCCCCCCACCTCACATTTCCTGCCAGGAGGCAGGGAACGATGGGGTTCTGTCTTCAGTAAGTAGAACCCTGATTGACTTTGGCACTGGGGTATTTTGCTATCCTGCTGTGCCTGTGCATGTGTGTAACTGCACAGTTACCAAGGAGTGCTCACAAGCTGGGTGCAGGGCCTTCATCCCGAGCTCTGTCCCACGGGGATTGGCTTTCTTCTTTTAAAAAGCAGTCTTCCAGGCCTGGCACAGTAGCCTAGTGACTAAAGTCCTTGCCTTGCATGTGCCAGGATCCCATATGGGTGCCAGCTCTAATCCCGGCAGCTCCACTTCCCATCCAGCTCCTTGCTTGTGACCTGGGAAAGCAGTTGAAGATAGCCCAAAAGCCTTGGGACCCTGCACCCGCATGGGAGACCTGGAGAAAGTTCCTGGCTCCTGGCTTCAGATCAGCACAGCTCTGGCCGTTGTGGTCACTTGGGGAGGGAGTGAATTATCAGAAGATCTGTCTCTCCTCCTCTCTGTATATCTGACTTTGTAATATAAATAATCTTTAAAAAAATAAAAATAAAAAAGCAGTCTTCCAGGCCTGGCACAGTAGCCTAGTGACTAAAGCCCTCACCTAGGGCCCGGCGCGGTGGCGCAAGTGGTTAAAGGTCCTCGCCTTGCACGCCTGGGATCCCATATGGGCGCTGGTTCTAATCCCGGCAGCCCCGCTTCCCTTCCAGCTCCCTGCCTGTGGCCCGGGAAAGCAGTCGAGGACGGCCCAAAGCTTTGGGAACCTGCACCCGCGTGGGAGACCCGGAAGAGGCTCCTGGCTTCGGATCGGCATAGTATCGACCCGTTGCGCTCACTTGGGGAGTGAATCATCGGACGGAAGATCTTCCTCTCTGTCTCTCCTCTCTGTATATCCGCCTTTCCAATAAAAAAATAATAAAAATAAATCTTTAAAAAAAAAAAAATAAAGCCCTCACCTAGCATGTGCAGGGATCTCAATGAGTGCTAGTTCGTATCCCAGTTGTTTTACTTCCCTTCCAGCTCCCTGCTTATGACCTGGGAATGCAGGAGAGGACAGTCCAAAGCCTTGGGACCCTGCACCCATATGGGGGACCCAAAAGAAGCTCCTGACTCCTGGCTTGCGATCGGCTCAGCTCTGGCCATTGTGACCACTTGGGGAGTGAATCGGGTTGAAAAATCTCCTTCTCACTGCAAATCTAACTTTCCAATTAAAAAAAAAAAAAAAGAAAGAAAGAAAGAAAAAGAAGCAGTCTTCCAGCTGGCTGGCTTTGTGGTGCAGTGGGTAAAGACCAAGCCTCTAAAGCCAGCATCAGTAATGGCGCTGGCTCAAGTCCCGGCTGCTCCAATTTTTATCCAGGAAGGCAAAGGAAGATGGCCTGGGTGCTCCAGCACTCAAGCGGCAGACTCAAGCAGAGCTGCAGGCTCCTGGCTCCACCACTGCAGTCATCCGGGGAGTGCACCAGCATGTAGGTCTATCTCTCCCTCTCCGGAATTCTGCCTCTCAAATAAAGGTGTATTTTAAAGCGATGAGTCAGATATGCACACAATAAATATAAAATTCTCAAGTTATATGGGCCCGGTGGCGTAGCCTAACAGCTAAAGTCCTCACCTTGAATGCCCCGGGATCTAATTATGCGCGCCGGTTCTAATCCCAGCAGCTCCACTTCCCATCCAGCTCCCTGCTTGTGGCCTGGGAAAGCAGTTGAGGATGGCCCAAAGCCTTGGGACCCTGCACCCGTGTGGAAGACCTGGAAGAGGTTCCTGGTTCCCAGCTTCGGATCAGCACAGCACCAGCCGTTGCAGTCACTTGGGGAGTGAATCATGGGACGGAAGATCTTCCTTCCTGTCTCTCCTCTTTGTATATCTAACTTTGTAATGAAAATATATAAATCTTTAAAAAAAAATTCTCAAGTTATGATAAAGCAACAAAAGTGCCCTGAGATAATACAAAAGTCTGGGGTCACAGGTGGTTTCTCAGGGAAAGCTCCGAGATGTGGGGAGAATTTCCGGCAGAAGGAGCGAAGGTTGGGCACAAAGCCAGCCGGCATGCAGGAGCGGAAGACCCATCTACAGAGAAAGAGACTCAAGGATGGAGCAGGGAGTGACCGCCAGAAGGATGCTCAGCAAAATGGTGAAGGATCAGATGTCTTGAAAATCTCACAGCCTCCGCAGTGAGGCGAACCCAGCGCAGGAGCCCAGGCCTGGCAGGCTAGGCCCTGGGCAGCGCGAGCTGGGCAGGCGGCTGCGGCGCAGCGACCCCACGGAAAACCGAGCGCGCCCACGTGGGCCGCTGCGCCCCGCCCCGCCGCGCCCCGCCGCGCAGACGCATCCAGACGCCGCAGTCCGAGCCCGGGTCGCGGGGAGGCCCGGCTAGGCACCCTCAGCCCAACGAGCAGGGCGCGCCGGAGCCGGAGCCAGCGGCGCGGGAGCAGGCGCCTCTAGGCCGTGAGTCCCGGTCCAAGGGGGAGGGCTGGCCTAGCCGAGTTCAGCGGAGACGGTCTCCGTTTCCGCGGGGGCCCACTGCCCGCCCCGGGCAAATTGGGGATTACCTGGGAGTGGGGCGGGGCGGGGGAGGGCCTGGTGCTGGGGGGGGGGTCCCCCCCCCGAGGTCTGAGATCCCTTCTTACTGGCTCTGTGAACCAATGCTGCTCGGCCCAGTTCCCACCACGCCCCAGCTTCCTTAGGAAAAAAACAAAACACATGAAAACAGGGGAGGGTAAAGGCGGATCTGTAGCCTCTTCCCGCACCTTGATGCTCAGGCTCCCATCCCGCACCATTCCCTCCAGGACTTCGGCCCGCCCCCGGCTGTGCAGAGGGTCTCTGCCATCTAAGGGGTCCCGCTGGGATCTGCTGTTCTGCCCCCACCCCTCACCTCCAGTGATCTTCCGGTTTCCTGCGTTTTGGTCCCGGGAACCCTCATCTCAGTTCAGGCTAGGATTTCCACAGAAGCCGCACTGGAAGGAGTCATGTCCTTGGCCCTCCCTCCAGGGATGGGGGCAAACCAGGGACAGGACGCAAGGTGGTGGATTTGTTCCCAGACCCTGGGAGAGAGAGATGGAGGGGCTCCTTGGGGCGAGGAGGGAGGGGCGCCCCTCCCCCGCCCCTCTTCTATCCTGGCACATGGAGATCCTGCTCCGGGCTTCTCTGCAAGTCTGGGGGTGATCCTGGGAGTCTGGTGGGGGCTCGGGTACAGGAGTTGTGAGTCTAGTCAGGAGCCAGAGGAAAAGCAAACCAACAGTTGCAGTTGAGTGGCAATTTCCTACCATCAGTAATATGCACCAGAAACAGGAAACAAACATGGCTAGGAAAGTGAAATGTAGTGCGCTTGTTTACATTCACTCAGGTCGCTGGGGAGACTCTGAGGAGGGCTTCAGAGAGGCGTGCTGGTGTGCTGGTGCCGGGCAGAGCTTGGAGAGCTCAGCTGTAAAGTATTGCAAGGGATTTGCTGGGTGGAGAGGGGGAGTTAGGAGGAGGGAGAGGCAGGATATTGTAGCAAAGGAACAGGTGTGAGGACAATAAGAGGGCATTTTGGGAACACTGAGCAGTGCAATTGGTGGGAGGGCGGAATGGCAAGAAGCCGGTGGCCAGCCACACACAGGGCATTACAGGTCATGAAGACCTCTCAGGTCTTGTATCTGCTCGTTCAAACCCCACATGTCTGCAACAGCCAGGCCTGAGCCAAGCCAAAACTGAAAGTCAGGAACTCCATCCTGGCTCCTGTGTGGGTGGCACGCGCCCGAGTGGCTGGGTCATTTTCTGCTGCGTTCCCAGGAAGCTGGATTGGAAGCAGAGCAGTGAGGGGGGATCGTCACCCAGTCGGGCCGTAGTGCTGTGCCCTGACTGTTATATTTTTAATCAGTGCTGGTGAGATCAGTGAAAGGGCCATGGGAGTAATTCAAGTTCAGAAAAATGGCTTGGGCCAAATGAAATTGAAGAGCGAGAATTACCTGAATTTGGTGACCAATGAGATGAGGGAAGGAAGGAAAACATGGATCCTGGGCTACTGCCAGGCACTGGCTCAGGTGGCTGAGTGGGAAGCAGGGATGTCATGCTGAGGATGCCAAGGCGAGCTGGCTTGGACTGGGAGATTGCCCAGGCCCTCTGGCTGGCTGCAGGGCTGGGTAACTGCTGGGTCTGGACAGGGAACAGATTGGAGAGTCACCAGCACATCACGGTCCCCAGAGCTGCAGCAGACAGTGAGCTAACCTGGGGAGAAGCATGTAGACCAAGGTGGTGGCCTGCCCCTGAGGGCTATAGGGGCGACTGTGAGGGAACAGTGGGGGAAGGGTGGGAACCCACAAAGGGGGCATTAGCGGAGCGAGGGGAGAGGATAGCACGGCCTGCTGCCCTATGGCCTGGTTGCCATGACTGTAGGCATCCTGCCCTGCCCTGCCCTGTGTGACGCATTCCTCTGCTTCCCTTCAGCAGACCAGATGTTCGCCATCCAGCCAGGGCTTGCTGAGGGGGGCCCATTCCTGGGGGGCCCGGCCCCTGCAGCATGTCAGCCCCAACCAGACAGCAACTGCAATTTCATGGCGAGTGCCAGGGATGCCAATGAGAACTGGCATGGGATACTGGGCATGGTGGAGCCCACCCTGCTAAGGAGCTCCTCCGAGCTGTCCTCTGCTAGCCAGGCCTCACAGGCTCCTGGGTCGCATGAAGAAGGGGTCCGCAGCCCCCCTGAGGGAGCAGAGATTCCCAGAGCTGAGCCTGAGAAGATGGGGGATGCCAGCACCATCTGCTCCCCTCTGGAGGACAATGGCTACGCCAGCAGCCCCCTGAGCACTGACAGCCCCAGCAGCAGCAGCAGCAGCAGCCCTGAGCCTGCCTGTGGGACCCCCCGAGGCCTGGGCCCCTCAGATCCTCTTCTGCCCTCTGTGGCCCAAGCTGCGCAGCAGCTGCAGGCACAGGAGCGCTACAAAGAGCGGGAGAAGGAGAAGCACCACGTGCACTTGGTGATGTACCGACGCCTGGCACTGCTGCAGTGGATCCGGGGCCTGCAGCACCAGCTGGTTGACCAGCAGGCCCGGCTGCAGGAAAGCTTCGACACCATCCTAGACAATCGCAAGGAGCTGATTCGTTGTCTCCAGCAGAGGGCAGCACCACCCAGACCCCAGGACCAGGGCTAAGGGTGTGTCCCCTACAAGGGTTAGAAGGTATATGTGTGTATGTTTGCAGGCACATGTGTGGTTGTACACAAATCAGTACATGATCATTTGCTAGCCTGACTGCAGGTAAGTCTGAGTGTGATGTACTAACAGGAAGACAGGTGTGTGCAGGCATATGTAAATGAGTTGGGGTATGATGCTATCTGTGTGTAAATATGTAAGAACAGATATATAAAGCATGTATGTAACAGGGAGGTGAATTTGTAAATTCATGGGTGGACAGATAACCCAACTGTGTGTATATATCTGCACTAAGTGAGGATGTTGATACAAAAGGGATGTGTGTGTGTATATGAGTAGATTTGAGTTGGGTGTGTATGAATGAGCCCTTGTATGCATAGGCCTGGGTGTCAGGTGCATGTGTATTTGCATATGGACCAGTGCATAAGTGTATACAGGCTCAGATGCACCAGTCAGGCATATGCTCACACCCCGTTTTACCATGGCTTAACCACAACGCTTTTTCACCCAACTGGTCTCGCTGCTCCCCAATGAGAAAGCATTGGCCTGCTGTTATCTGTCCATGGCTGATCCATCCTCTTGGAATGGTCCAGACTAACCCTTGCTTATCCCATACCTTGCTGTACTGGTCCGCTGTCCTGGATGTAAGAGGTTTAGATCCTCTCTGGCCTGCCATAGCATCTTTATCTACAGTTTTAAAGGATCAGTTGGTGGAGAATGAATTTGACGGGGGAAGGAAATGGGAGGAGGAAGGTGGTATTCATAGCAGAGAAGACAAGCAACTGTCCCTCTTGAACTCTGCCTCTGGGAAGTGACAGTGGCAGAACCCTGTGATGAACAGAACAGATTGTGAAGTACCAGTTTCCTACAAGCCAGAGCTCTCCACTGGGTAGGAACTGTTGAGAACCACACTGGCTTAAGCTCCCAACAGGAAGGAAGGCGTACTTGCAGCAATGGATGGGAGCTCTGCAGCATGAGCAAGCAAGCTCTCACTGCCCTCCCTGTGCCTCTGCCTTGCCATGGCTCTCTGGCTTTTGCAGCTTCGTGCATTGTACATCTCTGAAGTGGGACTCAGGGCAGGGGTTAGCTCAGCTCTCAGAGATGGGCAGCCCATGTCAGCCCAGGCCCAAGAGACTCTTAGACAGCCTTTCAATGGAGCAGCAGCAGCTCTGTGGGCTGGAGAGTTGTCAAGCCTCGTACAGGACCAGTGGTGAAGGTGGCCAAGCTCTCAGCTCTACTCCTAGGAGCCAAGAAAATACAAGATCCTTGTGCATGAAGTCGCCCTGCCAGGCCAACGATGGTTTGGAGGTTGGCAGTGGCAGCCCTGGCCCTTGGGCTCCAGGTGCACCGGGCATGAAGGATTTTGCCATCCCTCTCCAAAGAGCTCCATCCCTGATGAGTGGGTAAGGGAGGGGTGTGGGCTGCGGGGACTTGGCATCTGTGGTTTCTTACCATGTATTGAGTGTGAATCCGGGTCCTGGACTAACGCAGGATGAATAAACCGGGCAGAAGAGTGCAATCCGAGACTGTGTCATGTTGCTGGGTGTCCTGGGCCTCACTGGGCTCCCTTCATGCTGAGTCTGATGGCAGGCTCTCTCAGGAGCGCCCCAGCCTCCTGGGGAGCTGGGCTCTGCCCTGAGAGCCCATGTCGGATTGCCCTCGTCCTGAGTGCCCTGGGGACCTGACTGGATTGTGAGGCTCATGGCTCCTCCCCTCAGCCCCCAGTCACACTCAGGTATTCCATCACAGCCTGGACCTGCTGCTGTCCTGAGGGTGGGTGCCTGGGAGAGGCTGAGGGTCATAGAGGGTTCTGACATGTGCAGTCCTAATACAGATGCATGACTCCAGGTCTCTGCAGATGCTGGTTTAGATTTCATCTTCCATTTTACAGTAGTTTGTGTAATGATTTATTGATTTCTCAAAAAAATCTACTATTTTTCCTTTTTTTGTGTGTGGAACTCTTAGCTGCTCTTTCTGAAGCCTTCCAGATCCAAGGTCATTGCTGGCCCCATCCTGGGTTGGAGCTCCTAGCTCCCTGAGGCCAGCCAGTTGTCATTATAAGCTGGTCTGGCCGTTTCTCCAAAAACTCCATTATTTGATAAAACCTTATTATTACCTAGTGCTGCATAACACCCTGCCCTCAAGCTTACGATGGGAAACAAGGAAAACAAGTCCACACGTGTAAGCTCTCGGGGGCCTGAGCCTGGCTGTTTTCCTCATCTGTCCCAGAACTGCACTCAGGGTACCAGCCTAGGGTACCTGTGTTGGTAACAGTTGGCCCCTCAGTTGGCTCTAGACCCCCCTGCCTTGCCTGGCTTATGGGTCCTTCCAGCATGGCAGTCTGCTTCCTCCAAGCACACGTGACTGCTAGGAGACTGGAAGTCCCAATATCCTGCAGGCTGGAGGTGAGGGATCTCACACGAGGCCAGGAGTCCAGAACTACCCAGTACCACCCGAGGCATGTCGTGGCTGGTTAAGTAAAGGTATATCTTACTGGCTAGTATCTACTCAGATGAACTGAAAATTTTCAGAGAAATCTGAGTGTTCATTTAGGTGCTCCCAATAAAGTATATTTAGTTTGTAAAAAAAATTATATTTTTATTGAAAAGGCAGATTTATGGAGCAAAGAAGAGACAGAAAGATATTGCATCCACTGGTTCACTCCCCAAATGGCCACAATGAGTAGAGCTGAACCAAAGGTGTGAGTCAGGAGCTTCTCCCAGGTCTTCCACATGGACACAGGGTCTCAAGGCTTTGGGCCATCCTCTGTTTCTTTCCCAGGCCACAGACAGGGTGCTGGATGGGAAAGTGGAACATATGAGGCACAAACTGGCACACATATGGGATGCTGGTGCTTGAGGTAGAAGATTAGCCGATTAAGCCATTGTATCAGCCCCTGAAAATTATTTTTTAAAAAGATATATTTTTTTATTTCAAAGGTAGAGTTAAAGACAGAGACAGACAGGTCATCCAACTGCTAGTTCACTCTTCAGATGGCTACAATGGCTGGTGTTGGGCCAGGCTGAAGACAGGAGCTGGGTGTCCCGTGTGGGTGGCAGGAGCCTAAGCACTTGGACCTTCTGCTTTTCCCAGGTGCATTAACAAAGAGCTGGCTTGGAAGCAGACCAGCTGGGGGTTCAAACTGGCACATATACTGATGCCAGCAGTTCAGATGGCAGCTTAACCCATTGCATTACAACACTGGCCCCAATGATAAAAATTCTTACATAGGCTCCTTTGTTATTTTCTTTTTAAAGTTTATTTCCATGTACCTGAAAAGTAGAGAAAGAAAGCAATTTTACATATACTAGTGCACTCCTAAATACCTGTAACACCCAAGGCTGGGTTAGGCTAAAACTCGACACCTGAAGTTCCATCCTTTGTGGATAAATAATTCAAGCACCTGAGACAGCATTTGCTGCCTCCTAGGCTGCATGAGCAGGAAGCTGGACCAGAAGTAGAGCAACCAGGATGAAAATCAGCACTCTAATACAGAATGTGAGTGCCCTAAAAACCAGCTTCACCTGTTACATTTGAGGTTACATTCACCTGTTACATTGAACTATTTGAGGTTCACTCCTCAAATAGCTACAATAGCTGGGGCCAGACCAAAGTCAAGAGCCCAGATATCAGTCTGGGTCCCACACTTGAGTGACAGGGGCCAGGTACTTCAGCCATTATCTGCTACTTTCCCAGCAGCACTAGCAGGCCAAAGCTCCTTTTAAAAAATTAAAAATTAATCTGAGAGGCAGAGAGAGAGAGAGAGAGAGAGAGGAAGCAACATGCCATTCATTGGCTTATTCCCTACATGTCTGCAATGACAAGGGATCCAAAGACGGGTCAGGAATCCAGTGTCTCCCACATGAGAGGCAGGAACCTAGCTTCATCACTGTTGCCTTCCAGGATCCCAATCAGCAGAGGTGGAATGAGGACCTAGCGCTGGGAATCGAACCCTGGCACTCCAAAACATTATGCAGGTGCCCTAACTGCTAGGCCAAATGCCTGCTCCAAGTATATTTCTTTTAAACCTCACAAAGAATACTTCCCTCTGAAACAGTGAGCCAGAACATTAAACATGCTTGTTTTCTCTGGATGTGATGTATACTTCGACCACTTTTTTTTCTTTTTTAAGATTTAATTTAGTTTTTATTACAAAGTCATATACAGAGAGGAGGAGAGACAGAGGGGAAGATCTTCCATCTGATGATTCACTCCTCAAGTGACCACAATGGCTGGTGCTGCGCCGTTATGAAGCCGGGAGCCAGGAACCTCCTCCTGGTCTCCCATGCGGGTGCAGGGTCCCAAAGCTTTGGGCCGTCCTGGACTGCTTTCCCAGGCCACAAGCAGGGAGCTGGATGGGAAGTGGAGCTGCCGGGATTAGAACTGGCACCCATATGGGATCCTGGTGTGTTCAAGGCGAGGACTTTAGTCACTAGGTCACCGCGCTGAGCCCAAGTCAGTTAACTTCTTTGTGCTGTTTTCTCATCTCAGAATGCAGGTGACAGGGACTTGGCATTGTGCATAACAGATTAAGCCTCTGCCTTCAATGCCACCATCCTGGATGGGTGCTGGTTGGGGTCCCAGCTGCTCCATTTCTGATCTAGCTTCCTGCTAAACGCATCTGGGAAAACAGCAGAGCATGGCTGAAATGCTTGGGATCCTCAACCTATTTGGGAAGCCTGGAGAAACTTCCCAGCTTCAGCTTCCCAGCTTCCCAGCTCAGCTCAGCTCAGCTCAGCTCAGCTCCGGCTATTGTGACCATTTGGGAATTGGACCTGTGGATGGAGAGAAAACCTTTCTGTAACTTTTTTTTTTTTTTTAAATTGAAAGGCAGATTTGCAAAGAGAATGAGACACAGAAAGGCTCTTCTTCCCTACATGGCCTCAATGGCTGGAGCTGAGCTGATCCAAAGCCAGGAGCCAGGAGTTTCTTCTGGGTCCCCTACGTGATAATGTGTACTGTGGAGGCAGCAGGTGCTCCAGTACTTGGGTCCCTGACAC